AACTAGCCGGGCATGGTGGCACATGCCTGTAGTCCCAGCTACTTGAGAGGCTGAGGCAGAAGGATAGCCTGAGCCCAGGAGTTTGAGGTTGCTGTGAGCTAGGCTGACGCCACGGCACTCACTCTAGCCTGGGCAACAAAGCAAAACTCTGTCTCAAAAAAAAAAAGAACATCCAGGGAGACATAACCTCACCAAATGAACTAAAGAAAGCATGAGTGACCAATCCCAGAGTGATGGAGATAGGTGACCTTTCAGACAAAGAACTGAAAATAGCTGTCCTGAAGAAACTCAATGAATTCAAGACAACACAGAGAAGGAATTCAGAAGCATATCAGAGAAATTTAACAAGGAAATTAAAATAATTTAAAAAATCAAGCAGAAATTCTAAAGCTTAAGAATTCAATTCTCAAACTGGGAAATGCATCAGAGTCTCTCCACAGGAGAATTGACCAAGCAGAAGAAAGATTTAGTGAACTTGAAGACAGGTTATTTGAAAACGCACCGTCAAAGAGTAAAAAGAATAAATAAGAACGAAGCATGCCTACAAGATCTAGAAGATAGCCTCAAAAGGGCAAATATAAAAGTTATTGGCCTTAAAGAGGAAGTAGAAAGAGAGATTGGGGTAGAAAGTTTATGCAAAGAAATAATAACACAAAACTTTCCAAACCTAGAGAAAGATATCAATATTCAGGCACAAGGAAGTCACAGAACACCAAGCAGATTTAACACAAACAAGGCTACATCAAGGCATTTAATAATCAAGTTCCCAAAGGTCACAGATAAAGAAAATGTCCTAAGAGAAGCAAGAAAAATGAAAAAAATGACATTAAAGGAGCTTCAATATATCTGGCACAGACTTCTCAGTGGAAAACTTACAGGCCAGGAGAGAGTGGCATGACATATTCAAAATGCTAAAGAAAAAAACCTTAACCCTAGAATATTATATCTTGTAAAAATATCCTTCAAACATGAAGGAGAAATAAAGACTTTCCCAGACAAACAAAAGCTGAGTGATTTCATCAACACCAGACCTGTCCTACAAGAAATGCTAAAAGGAGTTCTTCAACCTGAAAGAAAAGGACATTAATGAACCATAAGAAATCATCGGAAGGTATATGACTCACTGGTAACAGTAAGTACACAAGTACAGAATAATCTACTGCTGTAACTGCAGTGCATAAACCACTTATGTCTTGAGTAGGAAGACTAAAAGGCAAACCTATCAAAAATAACTGTAACAAAATTTTGAGAGATAGATAGTATAAAAAGATATGGATGGAAACAACAAAAAGTTAAAAAGTGGGGAGAACATGGAATTGAAGGGTAGAATTTCTGTTAGATTTCTCTTTGCTTATTTATTTGTTTGTAAGCAGAGTTGTCATACTTTTAATTTTTTTTTATTTTTTTTAATTTTTTTTTTTTAGAC